GATAGATAGATAGATAGATAGATAGATAGATAGATAGATAGATAGATAGATAGATAGATAGATAGATAGATAGATAGATAGATAGATAGAATATGTGTGTAGGTGTGTGTGTGTTTGTGTGTGTGTGTGTGTGTGTGTGTGTGTGTGTGTGTGTGTGTGTCTCATGTCCAGTCTTGCCCTCTCTGTGTGTTTATGTGCGTTCTGTCCCCATTTCTATCTCTAAATTGCCGACCCCCCTCCCCTTTTCCCCTCTTTGATTTAAAAAAAAGCATTCAGAAAAAAACTCCATTTCGTCTGTTCATTCATCTAAGGCCCGTCTATTGAGAACAAATTTGACAAAAAGTTTTTTTTTCTTTCTTTGTATTGCTTTTAGTATGTTGTAAATTTTTCTTGCCGTAATGTCGAGACTGAGGTCCCGTAGGAGACAAGCTGACCTTAAACTTTCTTGCCCAATCCTCTTATATGGGATAAATCGCAGCAGAAAACGTCATATCCTAGAAACATAGCAATAGTAGAAATGGGTGTCACTGTTAGAGAAACGGCGAAAGACAGCAGAAAGGAAAACAGATCTTTACCACCCCGTCTGCGTCTTCCACCAAAAACATTTTCCCACAAATGTTTGAAACAGAAAAACCCGCAGAATTCCAGCGCTGTCAGAAACGACTTGAGTCTTGCTGAGGTCGTAAATCATATTCACGATTGGGCAAACTGGAGCGCTTTGTCGGCAGGGGGAGAAAACAGGGACACAACAGCGGCACTCTCTGTTCTGTGTGTGGGTATTGTGTATCCAACGAACAAGCAGAAACGCTGCTGTGCGCGACCTTTGGCATGTTAGCACCGGCCCCTGTTCTGTCTCGGTCAGCTGATCCCTGTCCCAAAATTTAGCTTTCTTTCAGAGGTGAGGTCAGGTGATGTCATTAGGACTGATAGTGTGGAGATATTGTGAAGAACTAGGTCGAGGTGATATTTTGTGTTGTCTTGTATTGTTGTTGGTTGGCCTTCGTTCTCCATTTCTCTCTCTCTCTCTCTCTCTCTCTCTCTCT